CCCCCCCATGTCAATAGACAAAAAAAAACCAACAGCTCCCTCCACTTCAAAATAAATAACAAAACAACAGCAACAAAACAAACAAACAAAACCCAATAAACCAAGAATAGAGAACAAAATATCTCTCAAGTGAAGCATAAATATCAGGCAATTCGTCATTGTTATCATTCTCCTCTCGTCACCTGTAGTTTCTGATCCTCCTGTCCGCTTTTTCCCACATCGGGTGTGAACGTATGCTCGCAGATTTTCCTCATGATAATACGTTTTGATTCTTTGGGAAGTTTTTGGCTGCACAGTCTACACCTATCCATCATTGTTCACTTTATCATTGATTAAAAATAATAAAATCTTTAGCAATCCCCCCCCCCCCACCCTGGCCAAATTCAAACAAATGAAAATAAACGAAAGAAAAATGCAAATGGAATAAAATATAAAGAAACCGTTATGTTGGTCTTGGTTAGTTTAGTGCGCTTGCAACTGCATACGGTCATATGAGCGCTAAGGGGTGGATGTCAACAGAGAAGTCCTTACAGGCAATCAGACTTACTCTGCTCACCTCTCTAGCTTCAACAGCACAACGTCTGCTTCGTCTATCATGGCACCCCGGAAATAGCGGGTCACTAGAGTGTGACAAACATACAAAAGAAGCAGAGGAAAATGACGATAGTAAGGATTAGGAAAGACAAAGCAGCAGTTCCGTGTTGCAGTTCAGGCACAGTTATGAGCATGACATCGATGAATCAGTCCATTTATATTTCTACTGTGCATAAGAACAGACGGGAAAGGCCTAAAGGCACTTCAGTCAGTAGCACCACCCGGGGGGTAGGTCTTTGTTAGAAGCTTATAGAACATTCATAGTCCCACAGAGAAGAAAAGATCAAGGGTGTGCCACTTGGCTCTTTCTCTCTTCCATTGGAACACTATATATTTTGCAACAGGATACATGTTTGATAGAAGCACCAGTAACTACGTACTTTAAAAAGTTAATAACTTTGAAATAGTGGGCTGAAATTGACAGGGCACCAAATTATGAAAAGAGAGCTTTTGGACCTTTGTCAAGAAATTGGGATACTGGTAAAGAGATTTTGAAAAAGCCCATAGATATTTTTAAAGCTATATCCGGCTTCGACGAACCCGAATTTCCAGTCATTGAACATAATAATATTATTCGAATTCTGCGAAATGAGCTGTCTGTTCCATTGTACCATCACCAGTCATACTCTCATCTTTATGTAAAATAAGAAGTTGCAACGATCACAATTTTCCCCTTTTTTCTTCCCTCAGGTTTACCGCAACGACTGACAAATGTCGTCAAAGATGGAATCGACGAAAAGTCGTTCTACATCCAAGGAAAAACTTACAGATATAAAGGACAAAATGTCTAATGAAACTTCATCAAAACCCCACAGCTCGCAAAGAGGTGAGAGGGAGGAAGACGCCACCACACCTCCTCCAACATTATCATCTTCCACATCGGACGACCTCGGAAAAGTCCGCCAACCCTCGGAAAAATGCCGAAGGACTAGCTATGACGATTCGTCGCCCGACACCGCGTTCCTCGCCCCGAAAAGCGCGTTCGGGAATTTCCGTAAAGATGCGAGGTCAAAACCACGCCCCTGCTCAAAAATTATCCTGTGGATTTTCGCATGCTTCGCTCTCTCGCTGCTGTCTCTCATGGTGGTGTTTGTCGTATGGACCCTTGTCTCGTATAACGAAGCCATCTCCTCATTGCAAGCCCGCCTGGACAAAGTGGAGAGGTACCAGCAGGATTATGAGGATAAAATGGAGGAATTGATACAGAGGAGAGTGGATTACCTCTTGTCTAAGGTGAGTCTTGTCCGAGTTCTGCAGAGAATTTTGTGCCGTGAGAGTTTGTAGTTACGTCTGTGAAATGTGTAAGTGTGTGTCCGTGTGTCCGTGTGTCCGTGTGTGTGAGTGTGCGTGTGCGTGTGTGTGTGTGTGTGTGTGTGTGTATGTGTGTGTGTGCGCGTGCGTGTGTGTGTGTGTGTGTGTGTGTGTGT